AAGGCTTGCGATTTGTCTGTCCGCATTGGCAGCTCTCACCCCAAAGGGGAAGTGGGATTTGTTGAGCTTGCTTTGTACAATTGTGTGGGAGTACGGCAACCATGAGACAGTGGCAGTGGTGATGCTGCAATTGTAGGGAGGCAAACCCAGAGTTACAGAAAACTGAACCTTCCAAGGAAGAGCTGGGCAGAAGTCATCTTTCCAGAGAAAACTGAAGGGAAGACGGCTTCCTGGAAGTCCAGAAGTAGGCCAGCAGTTCCTGTTTTGTCTTGTCTCCTTTGTCCCACCCAGTACCAGCAAATCCAGCTATTATTATTATTAATTTCATTTTTGTACCACTGTAGCTGAAGCGCTCTGGGTGGTGTACAGGAAAGCAAAGCTACAGTGCAAAGCCAGGATAAGGGGAAACCCAAATGGGACTTTTTCTTGAAATTCTCCAAGTCTGCTAATATCTGCAGGCACAGTCCTAAGATGACAGAACATTAGGCCACTTCAGATTTCAAGAGGGGAGAGCCAGGGTGGTGTGGTGGTTAAGCACATGGGACCAGGATTCAAGCAATCTGGGTTCTAGCCCCTGCTCAGTCACGGAACCAACTGGGTGACTTCGGGCCAGCCAGAGGCTCTGGGCCCAACCTACCTCACAGGACTGTTGTTGCAGGGCTAAGATTGAGAGACAGATTGTGTAACCCACTCTGAGTTCTTTCTAAGAAAAACGACAGGCTATAAATCAAATAAATCCACTGTTTAAATAATTCTCCATTGATGGAAGGAGATGCCTTGTAATTATAAAAACTAGCATAACCTGTTTCCTGCTGCATGTGTTTTCTACTTGTGGGGGATTTACAAAAAGAAGCCCACATGGCAATTTGCATCCTCCTTGGGTGGGGGTGAAGAGGAATAGTTCCCCTTTTAAAAAATCTTTACTTCTGCAGCCACTGGAGTTCCCCCAAGCCTCCCAAGGTTGTCCTGTAATACACAGCTAAACTTATTTTGGCTACATAACCAACAGCACTCATTTGTGAACATCAGAAATAGCTGGAAAGGCAATAACCTATTCTGTTAGCAGAACTTCCAGGGCTTTCGTGAAGATGAGGACAGGGGCGTTGCAGGCTTAGAATCTTTAAACTGGAGTGAGTGAAGCAGATTCTGCAGGTCAGCTGCCTTTGCCCATGCCTGACGCAGAAATTGGAGTAACATTTGCCCCCAGAGCAGGATCTAGGACGAAAAAGACCATGTGGGTGGAATGAAAACTCCTTAGCAAAAGCCATATGCTTAACAGACCTACGAGGCTAAAAACAGGCCAAGTGTTGAGAGCTGAGCTTTAAAAACAAACAAACAGAATACGCAAGGCAGGTATTTCCTTCACAGCCACTTCTTTGCAAACATGGGAGTATGATAATATTTTAACAAATGGGATAATATAATGTGTGTTTACTTAAGAGCAAGTCCCACAGTGCAGAATATAATTTGCTTCCCAGGCAGTGCTCACAAAACTACAGGCTAACTTGCTTACTTCCTTGGAAGTAAGTCCCACTGTTTTCAATGGAACTTACTCCCAAGTAAGCAGGCACAGGACTGCAGCCCAAGTAGCCTCAGAAGAGGCAATGAGGCACCATCCAGATATCCTCCGCTGCAACTCCCATAAGCCTCAGACAACATGGTCACTCGTAAGGGATGGTTTGCAGGAGTTGCAGTCCAGAGTACTTGAACATCACTCTGTTGGTTACTTCTGGAGTAGCATGCGCATGATCCTTTTCCATAGGGAAGACACCGTGTTTAAGTCCAGAGATGAACACCACTTAACTGAGCACAACATGGAGATAAAAAGTCCAAGAGGGCATGCAAGTAAGTCCACCAAACCTTAATTAACTTGTCTAGAAGCATATACACATTAATTATGTGTTGCTTAAGCTGGGGAAAAATAGGTGGAGTAAGACTCCACAGCCTGTATACCTGGAGGCAATTCTGACTTATCACAGGTGAGTGGCTATTCACACATCTGTGCTACCTAGACCCCAGCAGAGAAAAACTCTAAGGGAGTGTTTAACCCCAGTCCAGAATATTTAGTTTTTGAAAGAAAGGTGGAAAATGGAAGTCGAAAAAGAAGTGGAAATGCAAGAGTTTGACAGAGGAAAGTGGAAGCATAATTGAAAGCAGAAAGATTACAATTAGAAAGAGGGGTTTAATACTGGGGATAAAAAGGAGAGGAACCCTGAACCCAGAGCTGATATTTCCAGAGTTATATCATGAAATCCTTTGGGAAATGCATCAGGAGAAGATCCAGAAATCTTCCTGTCAACTTTTGAAAGGTCTGCTCAGAACTGGGGAATACTAGACATGTAATATATCAAGCATTTACCCAGCTTAATTAGAGGGGAACTGGCCCTCAGATAAACCTATTGTCCACGCTAAAAACAAAGGGGCAGTATATAAAAGATCCAGGTTAGGTACTAATTACTTCAAAAGGAAGCTTAGGAGCCTGGTGCCTCAGAAAGAGAAGTGGGTTTGGCACTAAAAAACCAAAACAGACTAGTTTGATAAGTGGAATTCAGCTGCCAAAGCTAATTCTGAAGAGGGGATAAGAGATTTAATGATTTTAGATGAATTTTTATTTCAACTTCCCTCTGAGATTCGGTTTTTGGTAAGAAATAAGCTTTCAGAGAATGTTGAACTAGCAGCAGATTGGGCTGATACATTAATACTTAGAGTAGGTTGAGACCAATGTAAAAACCGAGACTTTCTGTATAAACCAGCTTTTAAAACAAGGAGGGGACAAGAGGAAGAAAAGTAACATGTGAAAGGACTGACATTATAAAAAGACAGGATCAAAATATAGAAGGAAATTCAGGTGGATTCTGGAAAGAGACTCCAACAGCTCAACAGACAGAACCCCAAAGAGCATACCTTTCCCACAAGTGCGGGGTAAAATAGATAAGACGGTGCAGGATACTGAACTTGGAGAGGGGGTACAAATAGATGGGAGAGATGCTTCAGCTGTACTTGACACAGGAGCATTGGTAACTCTGGTCAGGGAGGAGTGATTAACGAAGAAAAAATTACTCTAGATAAGCATTTATCTTTACAAGGTGTATGGGGAAATTCTGAAAGTGTACCATTAGCACAGCAGAAACGGAACTCGGGAGGAAAGAAAGAAAAATTCCCGCCGGCAGTTATTAACTAACAGTGATTTTGGAAAGGGATGTTATCGGAGCCAAGGCCGGGATTCAAACACTGGACAGATTTGCTACAAGGAAAACCAGCCAGCCTAGAAAACAGCCTCTCAGTAGCTAACAGAAACAATTGATACATTGCAGGACCAGGACACAGAGATGCAGCAGCTCCTGCCAGTACTGCTGAAATGTCCCAAGGAGGAAAAGGTGGCATAAATAAAAACTCTGAGGACGCTAATAGACTTTGCAACTAAATGCCCAGAGGCAGAGAGACTGTCCTCCTGAAAGCGAAATCGGTTGCAGAAGCACTTTTAAGGATTTTACTGAGATTAGATACCCTGCAGAAATAATAGCAAACTGAGGCGCAGGGAGGCAATATGGGCACATAAGCGTATCAAGGCCGCTGCATTTCATCCCCAGACCCATGTTCCTGCAGAAAAGTGCAGTGGCTGAGTCTCGGAAAGAAATGAGCTCCATGGCCATCTGGCAGGGGTGCATTTGAATCAAGGATTTTCCAGCCTACATTTGTAGATCAACTTTCCCCAACCTGGGGCCCTCTGGCTGCTTTAGGTTACAACAGGCACCATCTTCCAACCAGCATACAACTACAGGGCAGGCAGGCAAGCAACCAGGATCTCAGGCAAGTTTACCAAACATATATGCTCATGTGCCCTATGCATGCATTGTATTTTGACCCTGCACTTGAAAAAAGCCAAAATCTTAATTAATATTAAACACGTGATATGACAGTTCAGTACAATGTCGCCCGCTAAGCATTAGTTTACATTATACGACCTTGAACACTTTAATGGGAAGCTTTTTGAGGCTTGGCAGGCAGCGCACCGATCTTGGGCACCAGAAGCCCCACACCTTGCCCCAGTAAGACCTGAGACCCGACACTGTGCCCCAGAGCAAAATGTATGAACCAGCTGCCTCCAATTCCCAGTGAACAGCGGGAAAGGGGATGCCAACTCTTTCCTCAATACCTGGGGACTATGTTTTTAGCCAACGGCAGCAGGAAAGACACTCTAATCATGCTCAAGGGACCACTTCCCATTGACACTATTGACTTAGACCCCCATGAAAGAAAATGCACCACCCAACGGTTGGAAACAGAAGCCAGGGCTCGCATAAGCCCCTCTACTGCTCCTGCAGCGTATACAGAAGCAGAAACAGTCACACGAACAGAAGGTTGACAAGTGAAGCGGCAGAGAGGGAAACGACGGGGGGTCACTCCAAGAGACTCGTGAAGAAGGGATCTTACGCTGCCCTCTCCTCCAAAAGCAAGACGGGACACCCCCGAGCTCAAAAAGGGAGGCAGCAGAGCGGGGACCTCGTAATAACCGGCCCCTGCAAGGGCAAGCAGGCAGGAGACCTTCCTTTGCAGACAAGAGGGATGAGGAGGGGCGCCCTCTTTCACCGCCCCCAAACGGAAGGATCTCCGACTGATTCGCCGCAAAGGATGGGAAGAGCAGGCAGGGGACCCCTCTTGCCCCTTCCCCAAAAGCCGGCAGATGGGTTGGCAGAGCTCAGCTCCTGCTCCCTCCCGAGAAGTTAATTCTCAGCCTAGAAAGGCGGGGAAGGAGGGGGCACCGTCTCCCCCGAAGAGACAACCAGGCGGGGGGCAGCTGCTCCCGAAAGGAGGCCACGGGGGAGGGGGCGCGCCCCCAGCTGCACCCTCCCCACGCAAAGCAGGGCTTCCCCGAAGGCCGCAGGACTCCTCCGGCGCCGCCCCAGGGCCAGCGGCAGCAGCGCGCCGCCCCTCCCGAGGAGGCCCGCCAGGCCAGGCGGCCCCGGCCCCGGCCCCGGCCCCGGTCGCGCGCCCCCTACCCGGACTTCTCCTCCGCCTCCAGGCGCCGCGCTCGCCGCCAGCCGCAGCTGCCACTCGGCCCCGCGCAGCAAGGGCCCCAGAGAGTGGAGGGCGGGGCCGGAGCGCAGGAGGCGGGGCTCCCCGTCGCCAGGCACGAGCACTTCCGGCCGGAGGGCGGGGCGGAAGGGCGTGCCATCCGCTGCAGGGCCCGCCTCCGGCGCCCGCTCATTGGTCGGCGTGGCTGCTTGTCGGCGCTGGCCGAGTCAGGCGGGCGCGGGTCGCTGTCCGAGCGGGGGTTGGCTGGGATCGCGGGCCGCCGCCGCCGCCGCCATGGAAGCCGTCGTGAGTGCTATGGTCTCCTTCGGCAAGCGGCCTGGCAGGCCTCACGTAGCTCTTGCTCCGGTCCCCTTCCGCCCTCCGCAACGGCCCGGTGAGGCGGGCCGCGCCGAG